ATCTCCAACTACGATTGTGGGATTATCTGTTTTGCCCTTTAATCCTGTCCATTGCACATAATGTCTTTGAAACTCTTAGCCATTTATTAGTGTTATGTCTTCCTCATGAATTCGCCCTTTTCTTGGTATGAAATGTCCATCTTGATCTTTATTTTGAAATCTGTTGTCTGATTTTCATAGCCTTCTCATGCTTACTGTTTCCATGTGGTACATCTTTTCTTAATCCATTTACTTTCAGCCTATATTTTTAAAGTGTGTCTGTTGTAGACAGTCTATAATTGGGGCTTGTCTGTGAGGTGATTTCCACTTGCCTCTGCCCTGACTCTACAGGATTCGTTGGCTTGGAAACATTTTGGTTATTAATTTCTCTGTGGAGCATGGCGCCTTCTGGCCCTTTGGTTGGTGTGAGTTTAGACTCTCCACTGTTTGGAGCTCAGGATCTTAAGGTTAACTGGTCTGTTGACATTAGTCTTTGTCTTGAAGTCTATTGATATGTGATTGGATTTGGAGCTACCGTTTTTTATCATTTGATTGCCATTTGTCCTCTCTGGCTTTTATTTGTCTGTTCCTCCTTTCTTTTGGGATATTTGAATATTTTTTAGAATTTCATTTTATCTGTTGGTTTTTGAACAATGTGTTGTTTTTCTTTTATCTTTGCTCTAGGGATTGCTGTATTCATCCTTAACTTCACATGCTAGATTGGACCTCTTTACATAAAATGTAGATCCATTTACCCCTCTCTTGTCCTTTTAGGCAGAATTTCTCACCCTGGGCACCTTTGACATTTTGTCGTGGGAGCCGTACGTGCATTGCAGGATGTTTAGCAGCATCCCTGTCTTCTACCCACTAGATACTGGTTGCACCCCCCTCAGTTGATAGCAGATGTCCCCAGGCATTACCAAATGCCCTTCGGGGGCGGGTGCAGAATAACCCCAGGTTGAGAACCACTGTTTTAGGGTACAGATGTCCTGTGTGTTACATTTGCTTTTGTTTTAACCCACCAGTGTTGGAATGTCTTGCTTTAAGTCGCCACATGTAATTTAAAGAAATTAAGGGGGAAAAAACTTTATATTTCTCTAATTTACCATTTCCAGTGCTTTTCATTACTTTATGAAGAATTGAATTTCTGTCTGGTATTGTTTCCTTTCAGCTGGAAGAACCTGCTTTAGCATTTCTTGAATGCAGGTCTACTGACAATGACTGAGTTTTTTTTAATCCAAAAAGGTCTTTTCTTAGCCTTCATTCTGAGTTGACAGCTTCACCTGAGCTGTAGTAGACATCAATTATGGTAGCTCCAACTGAGCTATGTTTAAAAAAAGAGAGAAATGCAGCTTTTTAATTCTTCTCACACTCTTTCATATTTACCTAGTACTTCTGGGTAGCTGTAATTGTAATTCTAGGCTCTGGGGACATGGGGTATAGCCCCTTCTCTTCCTTGTGGAGCTTACATAAACGGAAGGGGCACAAAGTAAGCACATAAATGTTTAAACAAAAATTGCAGGGGGGGGTATAGCTCAGTGGTAGAGCACATGCTTAGCATGCATGAGGTCCTGGGTTCGATCCCCAGTACTTCCATTTAAAATAAATAAACCTAATTACCTTCTCCTGAAAAAAAAAATCCAATAAAAATTTTAAAATAAATTTTAAAAAAAAGAATTGCAGAAGGTTAGAATTAAAGTAAAACAAAGTAAAAGGAAAGGGATGGCCGGGTGAAGTGGTGCAGCTGCTGCTTTAGGTGGGAGAGGCAGGTAAGGCCTCGGAGATGATTGGGAAGGAGCCAGCCATGCTGAGAGAAGGGCAGGGAAGCAGCCCAGAGAATAACATGGGAAGCCCTCGGAGTGTCTTCAGCAGGAAGAGACATGATTGATTGTCACTACTAACAATGCTGAGTTTACATCCCTGCCTCTGAACAGTTTACATCCCTCACTCCATTTAATCCTCACAGTAACACCTTCCCTGTAAAATCAAGAAGCGCTGGCAGAGGCACTTTGTCCAAAGTCAGGCGAGTTAGTGGAGGATCCAGGAGTCACAGCCAGACAGCCTGGGCTCCAGAACCTACCTACCTAACAACATCTAGGACTGCCTCCAGGAAGCAGATCTGTGTCTGTGAGTCAGCTCTGTGACTAGACTGAGCCCATGTCATTTTTTTCCAGGTGTACAAAAGAGCCAAGGCACTGGACCAGTCTGACAACGACATGTCTGCCGTGTACCGAGCCTATATACACTAAGCCCTGAGCCCCACCCCACCCCACCCCCTAGTCTTCCCTCTGACCTCCTCTTCCTCATACGGGGTTGGGGTCCTGGAACTTACCTCTGGACCAGTCCGCCTGTCTCCATCTCCTTTTATACAGACTTTGAGACTTGCCATCAGCACAGCACACGGCATCACTCCTCCCCTGGAGGTCCTGGAGAGGGGACAGATGTCAGCAGGATTGGCCTGTGGGAAAGCTCTTGAGCTGGGCACTGGCCCTGGACTAGGTGGCTGTGTGTTCACACACACACACACACACCCCACGCACCCCACACACCCCACACCCCGGGATAGAAGCTGCCCAGAAACTGCTGCCTGGCTTTTTTTTTCCTTCTTCCGAGTTGTCTTATCTCAGACCCCTTCCAGTTGAGGCACTAGAATCAGCAGTGAGAACTGGAAGCTTTCCCACTGCTTCCCTCGGAGTGAAGAGGCTGTGGTTCTATCAACCGTGCCCCACTGGATCCCACACAGAGAGAGGCTATGGGCCAAGATGAGCCAGCACAGACTCTAAACAGAGGGTTCCATGGGCCCTCCAACCTCAGGTGACCAGCTGATGAGGACTGTCTGTTTAAGCTACCAGTGTGCAACCAATTCTCCATAAATGCCTTTGTGAGCTGAAAAAAGATTGGCAAAGTCAAGCGAAGACAGGGCTCTGGCTTTCCAGGGAGAGCAGCAGCCAGCCCGCCTCTAGGTGAGCCTCACAGGAACCTACTCGCTGCTGTTCAGCACCTGTCCCAGAAGTCACCGTCACTGTGGAGCCCTGGGCTGGGATCAGACTTCCTCGCTTTGGTGTAGGGAGCTCACTCCTCACCAGGCTGTTGTATCTGGATTTGCATTCCAGCCCTTGGGAAAGGGGATCCTGAGGGCCACAAGTGAGGAGTGAAGAGGGAGGGGGAGTGGGGCTCCCTCCTGTTTCCGTTACAGACACTTCACCTGGCTCTGAAGAGCCACTCTGACCCAGGTCCCCTCACATCAGTCCCATCTTCTCCAGCCTGCCCCTGCACAAGTCCCCTGCATGCCCACCTTTCTCCATTCTCCACTCTCCCCCTTTTCTTCCCTTGGAGACAGTATTTCTTTGTCTGTTCCTTCTTTGGCCCAGACCCAGCCTGACCAACGATGACCATTTCTTAGGCTCAGCTCTTGAAACAGGAATGAGTGTCTTCACTTCAGCCAGCAGCATGGTCTTCGGTGCTTCCAGGGCCCCAGGGTCTGTCGGGAGGGAAGAGGAGAGCTAGGCCTGACCAAATCTGAGCTAACTGACCCTCAGAGGTGGACCTAAGACATCCTCGAGACCCTAGCATTTCTCCTTGGATGGGGGACCAGAGGGGCTTGGAATGTGGCATAAGAACAAGGAGAAGTCACCTAAAGGATGTCAGTGTTTTCACCCTCTGCATGGGTTGAATTTTCCAAAGTTAACACTGTGCAGAAGGTCAGCATTTATAGTGAATATACAATGTTAATAGAATGAGGTGGCCACGCTGGTGTGGGCCCCCTCCCCCTCAGAGCTTTGGCCCTTTTCCACTGATCAGAACCCAGGTTAGGGGATCTCAGAAGACATGGGGGGAGGGGGCGGGGGAGATGCCTGTGGTTTTTGGCACAGTTGTTAATTTCACTGGGATGTTGGATTCTTTTCTGTCTGAATACAAAGCCTGTTTTCGTCCTAGCCGGACATGGGGGGTGGGGGTGGGGGAAGATGCTGTAACGAAACTGGGTAGTCAATGTTGTCTTAATATTGTTGACAATTCTGTAAAGTTCCTTTCTATGACTATTTCTGTTTAAGCTATTTCACCCTTGTTTTGAAAACCTTCCCTTTTGAGGAGAAAATGTGACACTTGTGAAAAAGCTTGTATGAAAGCTCTCCACCACTACCCTTTTTTTTCCTTTAAACCTTTAAGTGACAAATCTTCTAGGCAATTAAGGTTGTGAATTTTTATTTTTGCTTTGTTTTTAATGGACATTTGTCTTTCAGAATAGGATTGTGTGATGTTTAAATGGCAAAAACAAAACATGATTTTGTGCAATTAACAAAAAGCTACTGCAAGCAAAATAAAACGTTTCTTGGTAACACAACTGTGACCTTGGCGGTGGTTCGCGCCCCGGCTCCACGCGGTCGAGGGAAAAGTAGGGACGGGCGCGGAGCGACGACTTCATCGGCACAGCGCCGGACTGTCTGGTGGCCCCTCCCGGACCAGCGGAACTAGCGGGCTGGTGGCGAGGCCCGGCGGAAGCAAGCTGCCCCGTCCACCAATCGCCGGACGCGGCGAGAGCAAGCCATCCTGCCAGCCAATCGATGAGTGCAAGCGAAGCACGGC